TCTCTCTCTCTCTCTCTCTCTCTCCCTCTCTGTCTTTCTCTTTCTCTTTCTCTTTCTCTTTCTCTTTCTCTTTCTCTTTCTCTTTCTGTTTCTCTTCCTCTTCCTCTTCCTCTTCCTCTTTCTCTTTCTCTTTCCCTTTCTCATTCTCTTCTCTATTTCACTAATTTTGTTTTTAATTGCCGAATTATTTTCTTAAGACTGCGTTACTAATAATAAAGGAACTAGGATTAAACTAATCGCAATGGTGCACTTAAGGACTTTTACAATGATTTATCTGAATAGCACCGTTTTAAGATAAGGCGGCGACCGCTCGCCGGACGTTGAATCTTTGTAATCGACAAATCTAATCGACACCGATCTTTCTCGTTAACTATTTCGCGGCGAGCAGTAGTGTTGTATGGGCTGTGACGGAGAATAAAAACAAAATGAAACAAAGAAAGAATAAAAAAAAATAAAATGAGACGAAGAAAAGGAAAATTGTGGAATCGTTCGTTTTGCGTTTGCGACTTCATTCGGGTTCGTTCGTTTTTTTTCGTTTCCGGTCGACGACCGGTGCACTATGGGGCATTTGCCTCCCAATTGCGGTAAAAAAGCCACTTTTCATGAATATCCCTAAAACCAAAAAGAAAAGCGTGCACATAGTTAACTAAACATTTGGCCCATAATCTGGCGTGACTTTGTTCGTATTTCTTAATTGTTAACGCAGCTACGCAGCTTTAAAGAAGACAACCTCGAAAAGATTGAGAACCAAAGTAATCTTAAAATAATCTGAAATACAACTTAAACGATTTCAAGTAGGATTAAGTGTACTATGTACTTACGTATTTGAACATTAGCAAATTTCACTGTTGGTACCATAAATATTCTTTTAATTACACGTTCATCAACATTTTTCTGGTTCACCCTCAATTTCAAAAACGAGTTCTGTAGAGTTCAGTGTTTCGTTTGGTATCACTGGAAAGGGCAAAGCATAACCTTTAATAATGAAAAAAAAACAAAAATTAGCTGTTACATGCTGCATCTCTGGAGGTTACAACAATTTTCAACTACGTTGACGCTCGTGATGCGCCAAGCAGTATTCGCACGAGTACATAATTTAATTTTAGGATGCATTTAACGGAGTTCAGAGTGGAATTTGTTATTAATGGAAATAGGAAGGCGTAATCTTTAATACTTCATAAGAATTAAGTGATATCATCCGCAACCGTAGCAGTTACAGCAATTTTTATTCACACTGTCGCACGCGGTGCCACGTGCTTTTTGGATGGTCGTGAATTTTTAAAATTTAATATTTGCTGAAATTCGGAGTTGTTTTTGATATTGTTGGAAAGAGAACGATCTATTATTTAATACTGGATAAGAATTATATGCTATTATCTGCAACTGCGGTTGACGCTGCAATTTTTATTCGTAACGAATAGAATTTGGTATAAATACCAAAAATTGCAGATAGCAAGCAGCCAATTATTATTCTATATTAAAGAGTAGACCTTGCTCTTTCCAACGATATAAAAAATGACACGAAATTCTACTAAACAAGCCTTACACGTATGATTTCTCACGGAAAATGTTTTTTACCGCGTTTGGGAGGCAAATACCCCAGAGTGTGGCGCAGCGAGACAAGGCGAATTGTCGGCGATCAAGAGATGATCAAAACGTAAAAACATTGCGTTGCCTTTTGGAAGCGAGTCAAGTCTGTATTAAATATTTTTTAGCTTTCTCTTTTCGTTCGCCTGAACCCGCGATACCGACAAGATACCGTCTGAAACTTTTGTTGTTGTGTAAGGTGTTACTTAAAAGAAAAGAAAAATAATAAATAGACACGGTTTACGTATTTCTATATGCTTTTCATCGACACTGTTCCACGTTGATCCCTTTCAGCAATCTCTTTCCATGCCTATTAATTTAATTTACTCGTTTCTTTCAGTGTTGCAGATCGATGTCACCTCTTCTCCACGCGTTCAGGTCACCGAGAAAATCTTCACCCTGCATCCGTCGATAATACTGAACTCCAATAATCGTTCACCAACTGAAATCGTTGACAATACTCAAATCTTTATTCCCTCTCTCTTTCTCTCTCTCTTTCTTTCTCTGCCTTTCTTTCTCTCTTTCGACGATCGAGTATCATCGACGAAAGCAACGGAGGTATAGATTTCACGCGTGATCGAAATGCAACCTTAATCAAAACGAATTTTAGAAGGTACCCCGTTCCCCTCCCTTAACTGTTTGCTCGTTCTCTTTGCCGTCCCTTTCGAAAAGATCGCTCACATGCATCTCCTGTTTCAGTGAAACGCCGACTGTTTTGCGACCAGCTACCCCGCGAATTGTGGCGGCGCTGCAAGGACGAGCTGCTCTGCCTGAAGTGCACGAAGAAGTACAGCGACTGGCGCAGCCTGCGGAAGCACATGAATTTTTTCTGTCAAATGGAGCCGCTCTATCCTTGCCCGTTTTGCACGCACAGAGCCAGGATACCCACCCTGTTAAGATACCACGTGGCACGCGAGCACACCGCCCCCGTTTCCGTCGAGGAGATCTGTTGATCGTCCAGGAACGATACCCAGTAACGTCGCTCGATCGTTCCCGACCCAACTGGATTAAAAAGAAACAACATCCCTCTATCCTTCTCTCCCCGTCACTAAACGGACCGAACGCGTACTCTTCGTAAGTAAGTTGTAGTCGGCGGCGATGTCTGTGACAGTAAATGTTCGGTGAAAATTGTCTGTACCTCCAACGAACTATTACATTCTGTAAAGTGTGTGTCCGAGTTAACGAGAAAGCGTGAGAATGACGGCACGCAGCCGAGATCGGATGCGACAGATCTTTAGGTTAGCTCTAGGGTAGTTCCTCGGCCCAACAATCACCTTCTCTGGGATAATAAAATACAATTACTATGTAGAATAGCATCAGTCGTCTATTGAATTGAACATCATTCCCTTTCGATGCGAAATATCGACGAGTAACGAAGCGTTGCGGCGAATCTACCGAACGAGTCGCCATTTTCCTCTGATGCTCCCTTCGTTCTTCCATATGGATCTACAACTCTACGACTTCCGAATGCCTCTGGTTTTGTTTTTAACGAACTAATCCGCGTCAGCTACGCCGAACTTTAGAAATCTAGTTCCGTCGAGTCGCTGCAACTGGATGGAACGTGTCTCCGTTCAGTGCGTTTCTTTCTTTCAGACCTACCCGCTGGACGCAAACAATAAATGACAGTTCCCCGTTCTAACCTGTACGCTTTTGGTTTTTAGGCGGCGACCTGGGCTATCTGCTGGACGACGCGGCGGACCAGTCCGGCAAGCCGATCTTTATCTGCCCGCGTTGCGGCAAGGGTTACACGTGGAAGGCGAGCCTGCAGCGGCACCTGAGCACCGGCTGCGGTCTGCCGCCGATGTTCTGCTGCAGGATTTGCGAGTACAGGACCAGCCGGAAGGACATACTGTTCAGGCACATGAGACACGTGCACTCGCAGTTCCTGGCTTAGCGCTGTGTCGAGCTCGTCCTGGACGATCAAGACAGGCCCGACTGACAGGAGCAAGCCTCTCGACCGAGAAACGAAAGAAAGAAACCAGTGACAGTGCGATAGATACCCTTAAGTTGATCAGACGAAACGTTTTTCCCTCCCTTCGAGTGTACACGTTGAGTATTCCGAAGCCGCTACCCCGTCTTTTGACGAGGCCAAAACACGCCTGTGTTCCGTTGCTTACCTTTAAAAGGTCCCTCTGTTGTTCACGATCAATAAACATGTTGCTCCGAAGAACAATGCTCGATTTCGTGGTGATAGAATTCCGATCGATACTCCCGGCGAGTAGGTTTTCGTTCCATCCGGTGGACGGACGTGCTCCTCCCATCCGCGAACTCCGCTTCATCCGTTCTTCTCTCGATCTGTTCCAGGTGTGTGGAATGTACCCGGCTACGTGGACAGCTACAGTAACCCGGTGGACGGGCTCACAATCCACCCGGAACTGGACAAGTTCAAGATCACCGGCGGCCAGGCTCCGTCGATCGCCACCGGTTACTCGATCGTCCACAAACGCCACATGTGCGGCTTCTGCAAGAAGGTGTTCCCACTGAAGAATCTGCTCAGGAGGCACGTGCAATTCGGCTGCAAGATGAACCCAAGGAACTCGCAATTCGCCTGCTCGTTCTGCCCGTACAAGAGCACCTACAAGGCGAACATGGAGAGGCACGTCAGAAATGTTCACGAGACCGGCGTGCTCAAGTTCCGATGCGACTTGTGCAACTTTCGCAGCAATTACTCGTTTTGCGTGCGCAGGCACATGAAGACGTTCCATTGCGCGCCCGATGCGAACGAGGCGAAACAGTAGAGGGTTGTTGGTTGATCGGGGAATGATGACTGAACACCGTGTTCCTGGTGATCGAAATTATACCGATTCGATGGTAGTAGAATTCATACATCTTCCTTTCGCTAATGAGAAGCAAAACGTGGGGAACAGAATTTTCGATGGAAATGCGGGCTGTATTATTATTTCGATCCAATCGAAAGATATCATATTCGCCTTGATCGAATTGTTAGTCGGAAATTGAACTGCGTTGAATATCTTTGAGCCTCTGTGAAAGTATTTCGTACTTTCTGCGTGTCATAAGGGAATAATAGATACTCGTTTATATTGCTTCAATAAGATGGCGATGTTCCTTTTTTTTCGTGTTTATTCCAGTTTCTTTCTCCTCTACGTACTCAACTAATTTGAGTATTGTTAGTGTATATCGGTATCGGCCCGATCACTAGTCACGCTTAGGTACGCACCAAGTACCTTCGAACTGGAACGTTTTTTTTTTTAGAAATTCGGGTATCGCGAGCGTTTAAATTTCGGATACACTGAAACTGTGAATTTCATACTCTTAGGATCTCTCGTGTTCGTGTAACTGAATAATCGAGAATCCTGAACACGACAACAAATGCCGTATATTGAAGATATTCAGGTATTTGAGATTTCGAGTATTCTGATATTTTGTGTGAGTAATCCCAAGTATCTGAGTATCTGAGGCATGTATTGTATACATAGACTGTACATACGCCACGCTGGCATTCTAGTAGTCGAACATTTAAAACATGTTAAGTTTCAACGTGTCTCGGTGTATTCGACTGCCTGGAATCCTTCCAGGCATCTCGAATGTTCGAGACGAAATCCAGGAAAAATTGTATTATATATAGAATGTTTTCGTAACCCAATTTCGTTGAGATTCAAATGCGTATGAATTTTATATCTCAAACAGAATTCCGTGCTTCCGCGAAGGGTTCAGTATTATAGTCCCTGACGGCTTCCGTTGCAAGCATTGTTCATCCCGATTCACTGTAACACACACACACACACACACACACGCACGCACGAAACTGATTAATTAAATCAGAATCAATAAAACGAACCGAACTGAGGTTAACCGATTAACCGTATAGAATAACTGCGCCGTAATCGACGAGCAAGACCGTTTGTATGTATTTTATAACAGGTAATTCGTAGCGTGTACTCGAATCGTATACACTGTAGACATTCTAATCGGCCATTGATCCGCGCGTTTAGGTGCTTTGTAAATCGCAAACCGAGAATGTAATAAAATGATTCGATACGTTTCAATAGGATAATTGCGATCGTGTGTTTCCTTGGACCTCGATCGGCAGAGAACGGAGCGACGTTATAACCCAACGACACCAGACGATTCTAATTAAAACTCATGGTTGACAGAAATCCATATATTTCCCATAATCTTAAGTCACAGTCGATGAAATTTTTAAACGGTACCAATTACATATCGGATATCGTTTATAACCAAGAAAACGAAGAATAAGTATATAACAGATTTTCCAACGAAAGAATGAAATATTCCATAGAAATGTCAATGAAAACATGATGTATCTTGGCGCTCTTCTCAAATGTACAAAGAAGCGATGTGCTTTTTGCTGCTGAAATGGTTAAACGAGGTGCTACACGATCTTTCCAGGTGGTTTCCGACGATGATTCGCTAAGGAGGAGCAGGTAATTGCCGAATAAACCAGCCGCGGCCGACTTTGTTCATTCGTGTCTTGAGAAACATCACGTGTGTGTCCAACAGAGAATAAGAATAAACGTGATTCGTTCTCGTGATCGGTCCCTGTCCCCCAATTAACCAACCGGATGTTGTTGTTTCAGCGTTGTTATGGCCTTTCAAGACCGTCTACGTGTTCGATCCCGCGGGCAGAGCCGCTGCAGGGAACGAGCAATCACAGCCGCACGACCAGAAACGCGGAACCATCGACGCCCGGGAAAGGAGTTTCGTTTGCGCGGACTGCGGCAAGGCGTACGTGGTCCACAGGTCGCTGTGGCGGCATCGGAAGTTCGAGTGCGTGAACGCCAAGCCGAAACTCGCGTGCGAGGCGTGCCCATATCAGACCCCGCACAAATGGTGCATAGAGAACCACAAAAGGCGGCATCACAGCAATGTCGGGAATTTATGAATAGCTCGCGGGTACTATTATCGGGGTGGTATTCTCGCTTAATCATAGAGAAAGCTTTCGCCTTTTAATTGGGAGAATTTTGTTGAGAATCATTGGGATTTTTTTGGTTCGCCGGTTTTCTTGTACCTTCGAAGGAGGTTCGGAAATGGAACTTTTGTTTTTCTTTAATTAAATTTTATTTTATGATTTATGATTATCTTCTGTTATGATTTTTTGGGATTTTATTTATTCGTAATGTTTTTACACGGACGTCGCGAATGAACTGTGGATGTTTGTGCAGATGTATGTAGGTCGTGTATAAATTAGAGTTATAGGAAGGTTCGTGTACTCGGTTGACGGTTCTCTCCGGTGTGAAGTAGAATAAAGGTTCTTCGAAGCATATCGAAGCTTTAACTGTAACGAATTTCGGAAGAGCTACGTGTTACGTTAATGCATAAATGTTCGCAGTTTAATTGTAATGCAGACGTTGTATTTGAAAGAGAACACTTCGACCAACTCGATATATTTTGATATTTCTTCGTGCGAAGAACGAGTACTGGAAATTGATGAGATTTCATGTAGGTCGAGTAAGGGTCTATGGTTTATTGAACGAAAACTTTCAAAATGGCATTGGTCTGGTGTCATGTCTAGTGTATATTACGGTCAATGTTGAGTCCAGTGAAATGATACTGGGGAAAAGGGTTTTGGAGTCTTCGAAAGAGAATACACCTTCGAGTTTTAGTGATAGTAATTATAAGTATAAACGCTACGATCCAGGAAATCGATTTTTCTCTTGATGAAAAGTGAACGGCGAACGTAATTGTTCGAACATCCATCTTTTCCTCGAACTATGTTCCATTTGTTCGTTGCGACACGCGGAAATACGAGAACTTGCGTAGCATTTGGGCCAGCGTTTGAGACACGCTTCCAAACTGCGTTGAACGCTTGTGATAAACGAACTGATTTGCGTTACTGAATCACAGCATCTGGTATTAATTTTTTTTTACTGTGAATACGTCTACAAAGCTCCTTTTATCCCCTACAAGCGAGCGAGATAATTCTTCCGGAGCATTTACAGCTTCTTTTCGATGATTATTGTTCCACCTTGCGGACCGACTGTTAGCTTCCCCGACGATTGTATCATAATCCTATCGAAATAAAAAAAGAAGTATTTATAGCGACAGACCATTCTCTCCTACCAAAATGATATCAAACTACCGTGAGAAGGATCGCAATAGACTGTTGCGGTTGAAGGATCAACGCGAACCAGGAGAAAAACCCTCGGTTACATCAGCGAGTACCTCGCAATTACAAGATTTCCCTCCACAATCATCAGACTTCTCGAAACAACAGTACATAATCATGTTCTCTAATAAAAACGAAATTTATCAGGATTGCTATGCGAGCTGGCGGCTAACCTTCATCCCCTAATCCAAGGAACCCCACACCGATCAGACCTAAGAAAAACACAGCTTTCTATTTCTAATGCGAAAAAAAGCATCGGCCGCGAAGCTTCGAGAGAGCCTCCTCCCCGTTCTTCTCCTCTCGGCAGAGGCCCCTTCACTCGGCCGAATCTCTAACTTGGTCCCTCTGTTTTCAGCGTACCGGAAGATGTACATGGGCGACCAGGTCCTCGGCTACACTTGCACAATGTGCAGCAAGTTCTACAAGATGTGGAGCAACTATCTGAAGCACAAATGCGAACCTCCGCAGTTCAAGTGCCCGCTCTGCCCGTTCGCCGCGTTCAAGGCGTTCATTCTGCACGCCCACCAGGCCGAACAACACTTCAAGGTCACCTCGCCGAACACGTGAACCAGAATCCCGCCGGGAACACGGGAACGCGCGCCAATCGAGTTGCCTTAACACACGCGTCGACGTGCATCCTCGTGCCTACCTCCGCGCGCCGACCCCCGAGGGGCGTGGCTTCGACGCTGGCGAACGTCGAATAGCCGCGAACACTACGATCGAACGCGCCGGAAACCACTGAGGATCCGTCAGAGCCGGTGTCCGCGATTCGCTCTACGCCTACGACAATGGTAGCCCCGGGACACACTCAACCGCTTTTGCAACTGGACAATAATCTGTAATCTCTGATCGAGGCTTTTCCTTTTATTGCTGTACAGACTGGCAGAGAAGAGTGAATGGTTGGAGAGGTAACGAACGTGAACAAAATATGTGCGACAGCTAATTTAGGTATGGGTGAAATTGACTATCTTGTTAGTGCTTAGTGAATGTTTCACTCGTGTCTACGTCCTTGTACTGTTGGATAGTTGGTGTTATTGGGAATGCGAGAAGGAAATTTGTTTCCTACTGTTCAGTGGAGAGTCTGAATAATAAAATGATGCAGTAGGAACAGAGAAAAGGGAAACACGGGAATACAAACGCAGTTTTAATTCTGTAGCCTTTATTCTTCGCTGGTATAGAGAGTTACCTCCTTAGCATCGCTTTATAGCGAGCATGGCAGACAATCATTTGTATTCCTAATTATAGTAGCATTCGCGAAGCTTCTCGGGAGGGAAGTAGTGGTAGGCAAGGGAAGACGAATGAATTCAAGCGAGACCTTACGGAGGGCGAATGTATTTTGTCTATCTTAGTTCTTGAATCTAGTGACATTACTCGGTTTCTTCTACCAAGTGAATATTTATTTTTATTTACAACCCCTTCATATTAAACCTCCCTTAAAACCATTCACTCTGATCTGCCAGGCAAGGTACCGAGCATTAGAGACGTATAATCTATAAACTGCGCGTAACAGCAGCACAACTTTAGATAGAACATAATGTATACGCTACTTATCGCCGTGACAGTGATATTTTTACGGAGAAAAGATATCAATTATGGGGCCATTATTCAGAGACACAAGAAATTCACTACGTTCCTTCAACATTAAGTGACTCATTCATATTACGATACAGTAGGTAGAATAAGTGGTTAAGAATATTGAACTAGCGCCTTATTAATTTGGTCGAGCTTAGGTGAGTAAGGTTTCCAACGTAATTACTCTGTTTCACGACTTTGCTTCACCAGATCCTTTTCGTAGTCTCAAATGTTCGGTACATCTATACAACAATTACAATTGAGGCCTTCATGCGTATGCTGTGCCCTTTTGGAATGGAACCGTAGCGAAGTGTCTTTGGATCCTTATAGCCAATTGTAATTCTGACAAGACGTTCGATTAACTCTTCCAGAAGAGACACAGCCTACATCTGACAACATCAATAGTAGTAACCGCAATTTGTATCTTGTATAAACGTTTCTTTAATATGATGAACGCCTTACAACTGTTAGATAGAGCAGGTGAACAGTTAATTGCGGACGCGGCCGGCAACGCGATTCGTGAGTTAGCGAACGTTTCGATTTGTGAGTTAGAATGATGCTTCTACGGCAGTTTGGAATTTCAGCAACGGACTGTTGAATTCTTTTTTTATTTTCGTATTGCTGGTTGTTGCACCTAATCATTGTTGTACCTAACAATGTAGAGCTGTTACGTTTCGTTACCAGTTTTCTTTATTTATTCGTGAAGATAGAATGTTTTATCATTTTATTTCAATCAACGAAATCTAAATTGTTACTTGATCACTACCCTCTTGTTGTTCTCATGATTATTATTTCAGTCTTATTGTTATCTATACTATTCTGAAACTTCTTAAATCTCCGAAACATTTCAATGACAAGACTACTTTAGAAGCGTCGTTGTTCACGAACGGTAGAACGTTAGATTGATTTAAGTATACTTCTTGGTTTCACAACAGGCAAGAAATTCCTACGTTCAAATTGCCTGACCGCGGACATTGCTCTTTCGTTTAGCGAACTTCGAACTTCTGTAGGTTCCGTAGAACGCAAATGTTTCTCGACTGATTGATTAGCGATAACCATTACCTATAATTAGATACCTGCGACGCCATAGGCTTCGATTACGTTCTCTAACGCTTTTATTTTTTCATCATGTTCGCATTCGCTGATCGGTACGATTCGTGGCACTATTCAAGTACCGGTTTCGATTCAGGCTGCGGTTGCGGTCAATGGAAACTCATTTTCCAATTTTCAGTTCCAGGTTTGAATAATTAGTAACCAATTAATTCTGTACACTACAATAACGAAAGAAAAATATAAAAAATGTCCTTTATATCATTTAAATTACAGAGCTATTGAAAATTGAACAATCTGTCAGGTACCTTTAAATTGTAACCAATTTTTTCATTTAATTTAACGTTTATTCTCAAGGATATTTCAAGGTAGAGTGTTTTGAATTTATATTGTGTTACCAATTAATCGAAGTGCATGATAGGTCATATTTTATTAGACAAGTTATGTATGTATTCAGAAAATAGCAGAATCAATAACCGCAGTCTGTTAAACATAATAGTGCCCGAAAAAAATTGTATCGAGCGAAAACCGATCAATTCATCAGAACACTTCTAGAATCGCACGACTGATTTTGCCGCTTAGACTTAAGGAGAGACGAATGGAGGAAGACGTCGTCGAAACTTAACACGTAATCCCTAGTACTCTGGTAAAATGCATGTATTTTCATAATGCCAAAAATAAAGAAAACAGTGCAAAAGCATTTGCAAAACGAAACAGAGGGGCCTGTCATTTCTGGGCGACAGTGACGAAGATCATTTTCGAACAATCAGAGAGAAAGAAAGAAAGAATAGACATAAAGGTACAACAGCCTTGTCGACAATTCTTTCACGTGCACAGGAGGTTCATTTCAACGAATTTTCGATCGATCGATGACGATTTTAATAACGAACGATCAATTTTTCATTGTTTCAGGGAAAATCTATCCTTGCAACAGCTGCGGCAAGACGTTCAAGTGGAGACAGAATTTAATGTGACACGTGCAGCAAGAGTGCGGAAAGATGTCCTATCGTTGCGCTTTTTGTCGTGTGTGATGAACTTTATGGACAGCTTGGTCCGCCATATACGCGACAAACACAGCTTGTTCAGAATTAAAACCGGATTAGGTGCCAAAAGGAACGTCCATGTATTAAGTTTCGAAGAGGCGAAATAACAGAGAAGCATCGCTCAGGGATCAAGCTGTTAGACACTTTCCCTTGGTTTTCAATCGTGTAGGGACTAACGTTTATAAAAATGGTCCCCGAAGTTTTCAATATCATAGATTATCTTTACGCTGTTCATCTTCTTGACGGATTTCCGCGAGTTTTATCGTCGAAAGTAGAAGTTACTGCCACTAGAAAATTCCTCTATTTTCGATGGTGACGCTCATAGAAATCTATTTCTAACTGGACAGGCAGCTTCAGAATGAACATTCGATGAAGGCTGAATTTGCACGTTCTTAGACTGTCAAAAACAAGAAATGGTCAATAGAATATACATGGAGATGTTCCATGAATGAGTCCTCTAAAATTAAGATCTCTTAGTACAAACACCCATTGTAAGGTACGATCAAACTCAAATGAGAAACATCGTCGAATTCTCTTTAATCGTTAACAGAGAAAGCATTTCTTCATTCGATCGTCGTTTCGATAATATATATCCACGAACGATTGCAATCTGAATACCGATCAACGATTCTAATAGATCGAATTTTCTTGTGCCATACGAAGAGGTATCTCTAAGACGTTTAAAACGGTTTCCTGTTAAAATTGAATCTTGTCGCCAATCCAACAGGAAAATATACGGGAATAAATCGAGCGTCCACGATCCTGTCTACGTTTTCTTATTGTTCCACTCGTGTATGTGTCAGTGTTTATTTCCGTGGAGAAGGGATTTGAATTTCGACCTGTCGGCCCGTTTTTGTGTATCTATACTGTTTCAGAAAGGGTTCTGACGATTCACAGGGGGATTCTCTGTGAATCCGGCGCGAGGATGTCGTCGGAGACACGAGGATAGAGAAAGACAGAGAAAGCGCGCGCGCGAGAGAAAGAGAGAAAGAGCAAATAGTATGCTTTGCTGATGCTTTTGTGGGGCGAAAGCTTCTTGTTCGTGATAAGTTCGTGACCGCGAGAGGGAGCTCCGTACTCAAAGCCGCCTTTTCTTCCTCACATTGCAGGTTTCCACGTGTGCTGCGAGTGCAAGAAAACGTACAGGTCGAGAATGGCGCTGAATCGACATGTGCGCGAGGAGTGCGGCCGGGTCTTGTACACGTGCCCCTTCTGCCACAGTATCATGCCGATGAAGTTCAACCTGCTGAACCATCTGAAGAAGGAGCACGGCTGCGTGGCGAAGATCTAACTCACCCAGGATCACCAATGAGACTCTTTCTCGCGTCAACAGATCAATTCGAATTGCCAGCGACTCTTTTTATACCGTAGATCACGCGGGGCGCTCCGTTATCGGTTCGATGGACAAATATATATGTATATATGTGTATATATATATATACTTCACGAGAAACTGCATCGAATGTGTGCAATCGAATTTCCTGGACAAGGCTTCGTTTTCTGATAAATGAAAGTTGAATGTTCCTAGATAGTTCGGTAACAAGTACACGTAGCAAGTGGAAAGAATCGAAAATGGTCGGACACGGGGGATGTCCGATGAACAGATCTCGATTATCTCGAAGATGAAGACTTGCAGAGGAAAATTTCATTCGACATTTTTCATGTTGTTTCTATTGAAGAATCGTCGGCCTGTTGATTGAATCTCGATGAACGGAGCGTTTTGTTTGTTTTTTTTTCGAGGGAAACGCGCGTCGTTTACGGTCTTCTCTTTCCATGGTGAATCGATTCGATTTCGTTTCCGCTGGACGTGATGGGAAGAGACTCGATACGAACGCTTCGCGGATGATCGGTGTGAACGTGCTCGACGTGTACATAAAGCGATGGAACAGATGACAGATCGAACTTTATTTTTCCAGTGTCCGCCCGAGAATTGAGGACGGTTGTCGTTGCTCGTCACCGAGAATGTATTTCAGCCAGGTGTTTTTTTGGAGGTTGTCGGCGTTAAATAAAGTGAGATCCGAAGAAACGTTACCCACCGCTGACGTGTGTGTCTTCCTCTCGTCTCTCTGTTTAGCGTTCCGGCGAATGGAATGAAACGCATACCGCTAATCGAGCATGCATGAGAGGCGGAATTCCCAACTAATCGCAATCCCCGAAT